AAAGGAAAACCATGTTTTATCAGCATTTCACCAAATGTGACAAATGCTGAGTTTGAGAAATCAGTTTCAAATTTGGATAAATTCTTTAATATTTCAAGATTAATAGAAATACATTAAGTTAAAATATGTTATTATTGTTGAAATGAAACCTGTATACCACTTGCTGAGTCATTTTGTGGGACATATAGGTTGTGGTTTTCGGGAAAATATTTTTCAATTTGTTAACATGAATTTTCACACATATATCAAGCAAAAACAATATAATGTTTCAAAAGTGATGTCATAATCATCATAAAAAGCTTGGATTAGCCTTTTCTAAAACACAACATAACTAAGACAGGGTTATATTAAGAAAATGTTGAATCACATTCTCACATATTGCTGAGAGTTTTGAGTACAGTATTTCAGTACAAAATCTTTAAGTGACAGAAGCTCCGGTATCAGTGACAAAACTTCTTTAAATTTTTGCAAGTGCTGCATGAAATGAAAGTTGTTATACATAAAGTCTGTCTTTCCTAGCTTCTAAAATGCCACTCAAAGAAGACGGAATTGACCTGTGGACTTTTTATTTCTTCATTTTCCAGATGCTACTACCCTTACCTCAAGCTAAAACATAAAAGTACCAGTACCAAAATTGTACAGACAGAATAGTGAAGCTGAAATCCATTACTCAGCAGTCTTCAGCATTGAAGAAACTAAAATATTAACAATAATCAAATTCTATCCGATGCATATCCATGTATAAACAATAAACAATGAAATTTGTATAAAAAACCACAGGTCTATTAGAAATTGATTACTGCTAGTATAATACAGTATTCTGTTTGAGTTTCTCCAGTTACAAATATGTACCAGATGCCACTTATGAAATGTATCTGTAATTTGATTAAAACTAATATAACACAATACAATATTTTATACAATAATGTTCATGGTAACAATATTATTTATCATCCAAACAAGCTTCCACTAACACAACAATGAAATTGCATTACCATGCTTTCCAGACTAGCAACATCCTAAGCTTCCGTAATGTCAGTCTAACATTTAAGCATCATACTTTGCACATTAAAGATACCATTTATTTTAGTTTCCACACTGAAGAATATACATGTATTGGATAATAACTAAAATCACATTTTTGTGTCTTTTGATACAGCAAGACATAACAAGCCTCTGAGTGAGTAACTTTCATCACCTCATAGATCTGAAATCAAAACAGACTACATTGATCAATGAGTTATTTAGAACATCCCATGGACTTATTTTGAAGGTGTTATTCAAATTTCAATTCCTTCACTGACAAACAGTACCAGACTTAGTTTAGGAATCAATCTCTATATACAAATAAATAGAGCATACAGTCACACATGGCAAGCAAACGTTTCAAGATACATAAAATGTCAGTTGTTGATGACAACCAATGAATGATTAGTTTAAAACAAACAGAATGTGATCTAAGTACAATCCAAAATAACACAAAAGGAAGTATTATTTCGTTAACAGGTTTTCAATAATATTATCCAATTTAAATAATATTTACAAACAAAGCAATGCACAAAATATATACTACTCAATCTTCAATTACTTATTGACAAACCAAAGTTGGTCTGACTTTGGTAATGACTTGAAAACTAATCTTTCAGTCCACACAATTTGTTCATGTAGGTCAAGTCATTAACCTTGTGTAGGTATCGTCGAAAGTCCAACAACTTATGAAACTATCCTATACAACAACAAACCAAATTTGAACTAACAAAAAACAATGATAGGAAATACATGTCTTCTAGCTGATGCAGAGAAATCAGTTTGTCTTCCAATAGTTACACAGATTCAGCATCTAAAATAGTTTTCTGTACACAACAAAATAAGTAAACAGTAAACAGTAAAGATGAAATACTAATTATCTAAAACACCGAATTTATGATCACTACAGATTGGAGTTTTGTCATCTGGTTGAATGAACTTACTGTTCAATTGTCTATGCGCATTGATGCACAAAGATAAACAACACCCAAACACAAACCTGGATACACAATCAGGAAAATTAGACACACAAACACAGCATATATACATGTCTCTCAGATGGCCATAACTTGTTCCATATCATAAATACATGAAACTACAAACCAGAGCTATCTCCATGGCACTGATTATTGTGTAGATAAAGCAGATATATATTGTAAATATATGTAGGAAATATGTACACTCCATCTCACAAAATGTACAACTGACAAAAGTGTGATACAAGCGTGGAATAACAACAGATGTCTTTGTGAATATTTAGACTGATATTTTAAACTGATATAATATATAATTTCTAGATCTATAACAGTATATACAGTGGGATGAAAATAGCCTGGTGTGATCCAGGCAACTAGAGAATAAGAGCATGAGCAACACCCAACTCAGTCAGGTTACCATGACAATCAGTCAGTCAGGACACTGAAACTTACCAATAGATCCAGTTTAGTCTGCTATATATCAGTAGTGGTCTATGATTTGATGATGACCAGGGGAGTACAGATTTGTGAGAGGGGGGTAAAATGCGTCTCAAGAGGATGTTGTTAGCCTGAAAGTTTCCAGTGTATGATGAAGGCAGGTTATCTAACTCACTCACTCTTGACATTCTATCAGTAAAGAAACGAAATTTCCATGCACTACTACTTTCAGCAATACATCATACAGTAAGCAATGGTTAGAGATATTTACTCATGACATAGAAATCATTTTGTAAATATCTTCCTGTAACTGATAAATCTCAAGAAAAAATAGTACTGGCATGGGAAACTAAGATTCTGCATTTTTTTTACCATGCTCATAGCATTATTGGAACCATATTATGAAAGGTAAACAAGAAGAGGCTAAATAAAAATCAAGATTTTTTAAAGAACTGGTATTACCATAATAAGTAACTGCTGTATAATGACCAACTATAGGCAACATGATGCTCTAAATACCACAGACTAGCCTTTGGAAGTGGTGCTATTGGTGTAAGATATGAACATACACATACACAATGTACTTGGGTATCATCATGGCTTTGTTAAGGTATTGTATTAGTCATATCTATCATAAGGCATCTGCAACATTCTATACTGTATAAGGCTGTATTATATAACATAACCGTGACAACAACAGCTACTCAGGAATTCTATTTCATTAGAACATCAAACACAAAGTACACACACAACATCAACAAAGAGGTGAGTTTCTGAATCTGTCACCTAGATGAAACAAATATATTTGAACATTTAACAGTGATGCGACCAAATTCCATATCCATCAAAGTATGGATAAATAAAATGATGCAATTCAAGGGTATACTAGGGATATATATTAAATAACATCTAATTACAAGGTATAATATTTGAACTATCATACATAAGTGGCATGGTGTAAAGTTAAGAGTGCATTTTAATATACAGTATAATCTGGGCAATTACAAACAGCATAACATCTTGATTTGGACACTCACTTTATGGACCTTGTCGAGACCTTTTTTATACGATACCACATAACATACTGTGGGATATCTGTCTTCCTAGTTTACACCTGCTATCAGATAACATACTGTGGGATATATGTCTGCCTATTTTACACATGCTATCAGATAACATACTGTGGGATATATGTCTGCCTATTTTACACATGCTATCAGATAACATACTGTGGGATATATGTCCGCCTATTTTACACATGCTATCAGATAACATACTGTGGGATATGTGTCTGCCTATTTTACACATGCTATCAGATAACATACTGTGGGATTTATGTCTTCCTATTTAACACATGCTATCAGATAACATACTGTGGGATATATGTCTGCCTATTTTACACATGCTATCAGATAACATACTGTGGGATATCTGTCTTCCTAGTTTACACCTGCTATCAGATAACATACTGTGGGATTTATGTCTTCCTATTTAACACCTGCTATCAGATAACATACTGTAGGATATATGTCTGCCTATTTTACACATGCTATCAGATAAAATACTGTGGGATATCTGTCTTCCTAGTTTACACCTGCTATCAGATAACATACTGTGGGATATATGTCTTCCTAGTTTACACCTGCTATCAGATAACATACTGTGGGATATATGTCTGCCTATTTTACACATGCTATCAGATAACATACTGTGGGATATCTGTCTTCCTAGTTTACACCTGCTATCAGATAACATACTGTGGGATATCTGTCTTCCTAGTTTACACCTGCTATCAGATAACATACTGTGGGATATCTGTCTTCCTAGTTTACACATGCTATCAGATAACATACTGTGGGATATATGTCTGCCTATTTACACATGCTATCAGATAACATACTGTGGGATATCTGTCTGCCTAGTTTACACATGCTATCAGATAACATACTGTGGGATATCTGTCTTCCTATTTTACACATGCTATCAGATAACATACTGTGGGATATCTGTCTTCCTATTTTACACATGCTATCAGATAACATACTGTGGGATATCTGTCTTCCTAGTTTACACATGCTATCAGATAACATACTGTGGGATATATGTCTGCCTATTTTACACATGCTATCAGATAACATACTGTGGGATATCTGTCTTCCTAGTTTACACCTGCTATCAGATAACATACTGTGGGATATCTGTCTTCCTAGTTTACACATGCTATCAGATAACATACTGTGGGATATCTGTCTTCCTAGTTTACACCTGCTATCAGATAACATACTGTGGGATATATGTCTTCCTAGTTTACACCTGCTATCAGATAACATACTGTGGGATATATGTCCGCCTATTTTACACATGCTATTAGATAACATACTGTGGGATATGTGTCTGCCTATTTTACACATGCTATCAGATAACATACTGTGGGATATATGTCGGCCTATTTTACACATGCTATCAGATAACATACTGTGGGATATATGTTAGCCTATTTTACACATGCTATCAGATAACATACTGTGGGATATCTGTCTTCCTAGTTTGCACATGCTATCAGATAACATACTGTGGGATATATGTCTGCCAATTAAACACATGCTATCAGATAACATACTGTAGGATATATGTCTGCCTATTTTACACATGCTATCAGATAAAATACTGTGGGATATATGTCTGCCTATTTTGCACATGATATCTGATAACATACTGTGGGATATCTGTCTGCCTATTTTGCACATGCTTTTAGATTACATACTGTGGGATATCTGTCTGCATACTTAACACATCCTATCAAATAACATACTGTAGGATATCTGTTTGCCTACTTTGCACATGCATGCAAATAACATACTGTAGAATATCTGTCTGTCTGTTTTACACAAGCTATCAGATACCACAATGTCGGATATCTGTCTGCATACTTTACAAAAAATGTTATCTGGGATATCCGTCCACCTATGTTGATGTCAGTCTAGCACTGAGACAAATAAATACATGTTCATTGATCTGCAGTCTTTTGTCATTATGCACAGCTACATATCAATTTTGTTTGTCGTTCTCATCTGTACAGGTTTTTATGCAATAATATCAATAGTATAAAGTAATGAAACTGAAAGGTAGTACAAGAGATAATATTGATGAATGAATAAGGTCAAAAGTAGTAATTGCCCTAAAACATATAAATGAATGAGTGAATAACAAAGACATTATATATACTGCTTTTGGCAACACTCTTGCAACATCATAGCACTTAAACTGACTTCCCATAGTGGAAACATGCTGAAAGGTATCAGAAATATCATTGTGAAGGGTATATAGAACCCTCACACTGGTGTGCTCCAGTCAATGTCTGCTTCAGTCACCCCTTTAGCAGCAAGCTCCTCCTGGACTCTCTTCAAGTAACCAGGGTCAGGGTAGCCAAAACTACAAAAAGAGAAATGAAAGTGACACTCAACTGTAAAAGGTATATATGTGCAGGACCTCAACTTGTTAAAAAAACAAATGTTGACAGATTTAACTGCTGAAGTGAATTTGCTTTTTACATATAAATTTTTTGTTTGTTTATATTTTCTTTTTTTTGTGAGTTAATGTGAGTGATCATTGATCTTTGTTCACAGCGAAATATTCACATACTTTCCAATTAAACTACACAACTTTTCATGAATATGACCTCAACAAAGTATCATTTGTATCTTGTATTTTTATTTGGAATTGTTTGTGTCAACGCAAAACATTCAAAATATAAAGGGGTACATACTCTACAGTGGACTAAACCAAATTTCAAAACACAACAGACATATCGCCATTCCAGCATTACTATATCAGTGTTTTGTAAATTGTGCTCTCATGGAACGTGTAATTGTTCCCTAAGTAGTCTCCTATCTTTAAACATTCTGAAAAGGGGTAACAAGTAGTTACACATGTCATAAATATTACTGATGTTCAGGATTAAAATACTCATAGTCTTGACCAGTTTAAGATAATGGTTCAAAACACATACTTTACATACTTTTTAAAAATTGGTTGTCAAATGAATCCAAAGACTTTTGTGTAAATTTGCCTATTTTAAAAGAGACATCAATGAGAAAAGTCTTACCTCTTCTGAACCAGTCTGAACAAAGCATTCTTTGATGTCATGATAGAATGTTACTTTCTCAGGGTATAGATAAATACAAAGTCTGTCCTAAAAGTCTGCTTCTCTTGTTATTAAGCTAAAGAGTAACTGCAGAACTGTACCAGTCAGTACTTACTTTCCAGAATATGAAGTTTTGTGGTGGATATCATTCCATGTAACTTTATTCTCAGCACCAGTTGTGACAGATCTGCCAACAGTAAATGTCAATCGTCTGTCAAATGCCACTTTCAACAGGCGAAGAACTTTTTTCCCTTCCCATGAATCTGGAAGATAGGCAGTCCAATAAGCCCCTCTGTATGGTTTGCCTGGGTTTGGGTGTTCTTCCTGAAAAAGCACAATGTAGCTATCTATTTGAAGCACACAAGCAATTGGTTGTTAAACATTCATATGCATGATATCAAAACTTTAAGATTTGACCAGTAACATATCACGTTTCCACAACATTATCAAATGGCATGTTGAAAACGGCAGTGGAACATCATTGCTAATAAAGTTTCATTAAAATTTCATCTCTACATTCATGTAGGTTTCAGAGGACATGTCCAAAATACAGACAATACAATTAAGGATATAATTATCATAAAGGAAGTGAAGGTCAGAGGTCACAGGACAGTCAAAACTAAAGCTGCCCTCCCAGACTTACAAATGCTATAAGAGCAGCACTGATCGTTACCTGGGGATTTTTTAATTTCCATTTGTTCTTTCTTGGGAATCATTTACAAATAGAAAATATGGGCAGTCAAAACATTCATCTCTGATTACTAGAATCAAGGGTTCCCCAAAGGCATTCCAATCTGGGAGTCATCATGACTCTTGAGGGTCAAAGTAATAAATGTGAGTGCCATAAGATTAAACTAATGTGTAAAAGTATTTGTGGATAATGTGTGGATAAGAATGTACAGTGATGTAACCTGAGTGACCTGAAAAGTTCTTACATAACTGTTTTTCACCAAGGAAAGAGTACAATATTTTCTAGCATACCCACTTCAAGCCCCTGAGACATGCCATTCTGTTTGTGATGTCACTATCAGGATGTCTAAAGCGGGGGTAGCCTAATGGTTACTGTACTTTGCGTTATTGTCAACTATGAAGACCGGGTTTGAATCCCCACATGGGCACAATGTGTGAAGCCCATTTCTGGTGTCTATCCCCTTTACCATGTTGATGGAATATTGCTAAAAAAAACCAAACTCAGTCAGTCAGTCAGTCAGATGTGAAGCTTCTTGTAACGTGATGTTTTCAAAACTTAATGAATACTTTTAGCTTGTTGCTTAAAAGGTCCCTGCCCATCACGAGCAACTCTAGTCCCACCTCTTAACTAGCTGCTGAAAGGGTCCTTGCCAATGAAGCTCATTCTTCCACATCCCATCACGCTCCTCCACTTCTATTCTTGGGGAAAGGAAGGAACCCAAGGATCTTATAATTATTCCGGAAGCAACAAAGGGACCTTGTGAGTAACACCTTGGAAACACCTTACAAGTGCATGAAATAGTCTCTCTACTGGCAGAACAACTGGGATGAAGGTATTATGTGAACTCTACAGGTAGTCCGAGATTGGGAAAGAGTTTTGAACCTGTTTATAACTAAGAGCTAATATTTCAGCCAACATGCAGCAGCAGCATCTCTTCTGCTGATAATGATGAAGGTCTGTAGCTGCCATCCAGTGTACAATTTCAGGGCTTTTAAGCGAATGTCCTAACTAATTTCCATCCAGCAGTTGTATGAGTCTGCCAAGGCAAGAAATCAAGATGTTTCTATCTTCAGGGATGGGGACTTGGTCCCACCTAGTTTCTGAATGTACACTACTACCCTTGCATTGTTGGTTGCTATAAGAACTGAAAAATTGAGAAGATCCTTCCATTTCTATAGAGTGTAGAAAATTGCACACAGCATCATTTCATAACAGTTTGATATTATATCAATATTAAATACCTGCTTACACCAAATTTCTTTGACATATGCATACATGTGTCCCAGTAATGGGGACGGATAAGATTGGGCTTCTTGGCATTTTCATTTAGGATTGGGTTATGATGAACATACTCAGTCAGGTCAATCATACATTCTAACTTTCTATTTCATTACAGAGTTAAACCTGTAAAACTAAAAATGACAGAAAGACAAAAAAAACATGCTGTTGAGCTATCAACTGAAAATGCATTCACCATTTGAATGAAATATGCATGTTACTTACTTTTGAATTCCACCTGGTATGTTGTATGTGATAGTAATGGTTCCATCATGATGGATGTCCTGGGAGATGACTGAAAGCATTCACATACACAGACATTTTGCCTTCTGGCATGTTCCCTGACACTGGTCCATAAATGGCACCACAATTTGGACACACAGGCTTGTAATTGTTGAAGTAGTGATCGATACATTCACTGCAGAACCTGTGCCCACACTTCAGGGTTTTGGGATCCTTGCAGGAGTCCTTGCAGATTGAACACTCCTTCTCCCTCCTGTAGCTCCAGCCACATCTATGTCCATGGTATCCTCTCCTGATTCCAGGGTCAGATGGGAATCAAACACTCCCTTGAGTTTGGCTATAACCTTTGGATTTTCTCGATCAGATGGATTTCAGGTACTCTGCTTTCCTTCATAACTTCTCTTGTAATGTTACAGAAGGCTTTGGCAAAATCTTCAAGGTTAACTGAAAACACAAAAGTCTTCGCTGGTTATTCAGAAAAGTATAACTATAAGTTTCTGGCGTACTGCTAGTGTCTGTACACTTCAATTTGGATGGATCAGAAATTGAACAAATTCAGCAATAAGGTTCTATACCTGAATGGTGATGCAATATAATGGAGACAAACAAGCATAGTGTGTTGTTGTGTTATGGTTACACAACAACCAAGTGGGTTTTACATAATGTTAAATTCCTACATATTTGACTCAATAATTATTTGAAATACAAAAACCTTTTCATTCGAGTCATGGCTAAAGTAACACACACATAAATTCTAAGAAACTTACTATCAGAAACAAAATTGATGTAAAACCCGGATTTCTAAATGAGTTATCTGTACTTTCCTTTAGGCAGTAGGCAGGACCTTGACACTAATGGTGGGCACTTAAGGCACTCACTATCTTGTTCTTGTCACTACATGACCACTGCTGCTAGTCCACATGTACATATAAAACAAGTATATGGATGGTAACCTCTTCTTTATTGTATAACAGGACGTTTCTGGGCTACTTCTTGCCCCCTTCTTCAGGTGATATGGACAGGTGTAGAAAACATATTACCCGGACGGAGAATTTTCAAACCATTCCCCATAGGTTTCCATTGATAAATGATTCTGTTATCTGGATGGAAAGATCTGTGTGCATGTGCATTTGTATGTTTGTGGTAGAGTTTAAGTCTGTACATAGTGATTATGTTTTATCATTTAGCTGTTTTACTTTAACATGTTTAAAATAATGTCATTTGTATATTTCAGGCAATACAGTAATTAATAACTATTTATTGTATTAATTTCAGATATATGAACCAGTCATCTTCACTGATATATGAATAATCAAATCTCTTATTTCAGGCTGCATAAGATATTTAAGCAGTTGCAAGTAAACTAGTATCATTAAAGCTCATTTCTTTTGTTAAGTAATTTCATTGGGTAAGTCCACTTCAGTGTCGGGTAGATCAACTAGCAATCAAAGTATAAGCCCAGGTATTTTAATGATTGGCTAATTTTGAATTAGGTGTCCCACTTTCAAACCCTTTGTTTTCCACATATGCATTCTTGTCACTGGCACTTACAACTTGCACTTGGACACTTGGAGAGACACAGGACCAGAAACTGAAAGGGTTAGTTGCTATTATGTTCTTTTTATGCCATTGTAATGTATAAATCACTTCATGTAAATATATCTATATCAGATTAATGTTATGTTTAAACATGTCCCATACACTTTGTGTGTGTGTGTGTATGTTGAGTGTATGTATATAAGAAATACCATACCTGATTGTATGTGTGGTTTTGGTTATCTGGCAGTAATTTGTATTGTTTAGTACTGAATTGATAATAGTTTAGATGAAATATTTAGATGTGTAAATAGATTAGAACTCATGGTATGTTTTATATCATGAACAGGTTCATACAAGATTATCTTGAATACGGACAACAACACCCCCGTGGGATTCACAGGGTACATATGTTTATATATATTTGTAATGTATAATTAATTGAACATAACATCATGCATGTCATGCCATATCCATATTTGGTGTGTAACTTCAACGACCGCAATATGTCAAGCTTATATAAAGTAGTGATGTTCTGTGTGGCTGTTTCCTAATACACTGAAATTCTGGACCAAACAATGTGAAAAACCTTTGTATCAGCGCCCAAAGAACAGTCCGAAATTGAACGTGTGGGGTGGCAATCTGTGTTAGGGGCAACGCCCCTTTGTGTATTTGAAGGGAATATGAACAGTGAGCAATCTATTCACGTGTTCTATGGAAATTTTGGGATTTTCCAGCAGGACAACGACCCAAAACATCGTTCAAAGCATTCACAGGCCTGGTTTCGGACCCAAAATATGACATTATTAGATTGGCCAAGCTATAGCCCTGACCTAAATCCAATAGAAAATGTTTGGGGACTTATGAAGGAAAGTGTCAATAACAAAAATCTGACAAATATTGCTGAAATGAAAGAAGAGGTGGTCCGATATTGGAACAGCATGGACCACGACTTTCTAACTTCTTTGATCAGTAGTAATAATGCCCCACCGCATTGAAGCCTGCATTGCTGGTGACTTGACAAAATACTAACTGTTCACCTGTCTTTGAATCTGGAGTTATGTTCTGCAAATATTCACATTAAATATGTGAGTAATGAGTGAATTTAAAAAAAAAAATTACAATCTTAAATTCTCAATAATTTCTGGTTGTACTGTATAATATGTTTTCTACACCTGTCCCTATCCCCTGAAGAAGGGGGCAAGAAGTAGCCCAGAAACATCCTGTTATACAATAAAGAAGAAGTTGCCATCCATATACTTGTTTTATATATTCACCAACTTCTAAATACCTCTCAAGAATACACATGTACAGTTAATAAGTGTGGGAGTGAGTTAATTTAGTTTTATGCCGCACTCAGCTATATTTCAGCTATATGGCGGCAGTCTCTAAATAGTCGATTCTGGACAAGACAATCTAGTGATCAACAGCATGAGCATCGTTCTACGCAATTGGGATACGGTAACATGTACAGTAAATGTGTGTTACAACCCATGCCAAAATTCTAAAATAATGTAATTTTCTGAATAAAATTGATATTTTATACTTATCCCGACTCATGCTTTTTGCTTGTCTTCTTCTTCTTGCGAACATAGTGGAACACTTGTATCTCCCTAATTGAAGCTCCCTTCAATTTAAAATCACTAATCAATACTCACCAAGAGTTGCCTCTCCTTGCCCCTTTTGGCGGGAAAGGTGGGGCCACAACATCCCACATGCTTCACTCTCTCCTGTTTAACGAGCCCGACACTTGAATTTTCAGGGAAATCCAAAAGTGTCATGTGGGGAGGATGGGAGGGCTTACCTCATGAGTCAGGATAAGTATAAAATATCAATTTTATTCAGAAAATTACATATTTTCCCCTTATCCTGACTCATGCTCTTTTTGCTTGTAGAATCCGACGGAATTGGAGGTGGGAACAGATACTTTGGATTTTAATTAGTGATTTAGATGTAATAACCCCCTACGGGAACTTCATAATGGCACTGTAATTAAATAAAATTTCTGCTGCTATCATACATAAGTTCTACCAGCTGCCATAGATGGGGGTACTACAATATTAAAATAAAATAGGAATAAGTGACTCCAAAGTGGAGAAGCGACCCAATAGTACATGTAACATAGGTACTGGGTTTTAAGACTAATGTAGGCTTAAGATATACAACTAGCAAAAACTCCGTAGAGTTTGTAAGCTTGATAAATACTGATATAGTATATATACAGATATAATCTCGTGAGACTATGTCTCATCGTCTACGAGGAACTGTCAACTGCTGTGCTAAAACCAATGGTCCGAAATGGTGAATACCTGAGACGTCCTCAGTGGCGATATCTCTCAGGTAGTGGTTAGCAAACACCATGTCGGATTTCCAAAAGCAGCCCTCCATAATCGTATTCAACGAGCAATTTCCATGTACAGCGAGTGTCGAAGCCAGTGCTCTGATTTCATGAGGATTAGATGCTCTTGGAGGGTCGAGTCCTGCAGTCTTGTAGGCTTCAGTATGACAGTTCTGATCCATATCGATATGGTTGGTGCGTGAGACTTCGGTCTCAGTCGCTGTAGATAGAGGGATGAATAACCGCTTGAGTTTTCTTCGCCTCGTTTTGGATCGTTGTAAATAAACTTTGAGTGCTCTCACTGGGCATAATGATAGATCAAGCGTATCATGAGGTCCGAGTATCGAGGAAAGTGCAGGGACGTGGAATAATCTGTCTGGTTGACCTGGCATTTGATTCTTGGCGATAAAGTCCCATCGCAGTCCCATATGCACTGTGTTTTGATTCTCATCAAAACGTGTTCTCTTGTAGTCTAGAGCGTGGATTTCTGATACTCTGGCTGCCGTTGCTAGGGATAGCAGGAACAGTGTTTTCTGCGTCAGAAATTCGAACGATGTTGATTCCAGTGGTTCATAAGCCTCACTTGTGAGGTGTTGGAGCACTATATTTAGATCCCATGCTGGAGCGCGAAATCTCTGTTTCTGATCCTCCAATCGGAATGAACGTAGCAAGGCCAGTAACTCTGGCGTCTTCGTTAACTTGACACCCGTTCTCATAGTTATCACTGAACTTAATGCTGCGAGATACGTAGATAGTGTCGAGCCTTTTAGACGTTTGGTTTGTCGTAGGTGACAAAGGTAGTCTGCCACTTGAGGGTGTGTAGCATTTCTAGCTGTAAATCCCTTTTTAGCAGCGTATGTCTCAAAACTGTGCCACTTGTCATCATACAAGTTCTTGGCGTAGAGAGTTAGCACAAAGCAAGCGTGACTGCTTTTGCCGCTCTGGCTGAATAACCTCTCTTGTTTAAACACACTTTAATACAGTCCATACGTGAAGTTGGAATGCTCCTGGGTTTTCGTGCGCTTGTTTTGTGTGAGGATGTACAAGTAGATTCGAGCGCTTTGGTAGTTGTAGTATTGGTTGTCCGATTTCTTGAATTAGAATGGGAAACCACGTTCTCGCTGGCCAGTAGGGCGCGACCAAAATCAGTTGGAGGCTCTGAGTTTGTCTGATTTTCTGTAACACCTTTGGTATTAGCGCTGGCGGCGGAAACGCATACGCGTTGAGGCCTTCCCAGGATATGCTTAGAGCGTCCGTTGCCCACGCTTGTGGATCCGGGACTGGTGAGATGAATGTTGTTAGCTGATTGTTGAAGCGAGTGGCGAATAGGTCTATTAATGGAGCTCCTATTTCCATGATAATCTGAGCGAAGATTTCTGGGTGGAGTTTCCATTCCGTCGGTGACGGTAGATATGGCCGAGAGAGTGCGTCTGCTAGTACATTCTTGGCTCCGGGAATGTGGCATGCTCTGACATGTATGTTTAGATCGTCGATCAGATCGAACAGTTGGAAGCATAGAGTCAATAGGTTCAATGATCTCGTTGAACCTTGTTTGTTTATATAAAACGCC